CTGGAGAGGTGGCTGAGGTGCTGGGGCAACAGGCAAGGAAAGGCAGCGTGACCAAAGTGGAGAGTGCCTGTGAGGCAGGAGCTGTGTCCCATTCCGATGTCGTCGTGTCACTGTTCAAACCCCTCCAGAAGTGCTCCACCTCATTCAGAGAAAAATGAGCCTACCTCCCTCTCCTGTTTCCCCAACTACCCCTACCCTTACCACTCAACCCCACTGGCCTCCTCAAACACACTGCCACGCTTTCTGGAATCACTTTCTTTAAACCACCACAGCTCACTCCTCACCTCCTGTGAAGCTTTGTTCATCTTTTGCAGGAAGCCTCCCTGATGGTTATTTAGAACGGTGCTCCTTCCCCAGCTCTGCCTTTAGCACTCTCCATCTTCTGTACCTCCCTGGAGCACCTTCTGCAGACCCCATAATTAACTTATTCTCCCTCACGGGACAAGAATAATGACCTGGTGTTTTCTTGATATGTCATCAGCACTTGGACAGTGCCTGGCACACAGTAGGTGCTCAGTAATATTGGCTGAATGACTAAGAGAAATAGGAAGTAGAAGGAAGCCAGGAACCTGGAAATAAAGTGAACAATTATTTTTCCAGGCTCCTTGAAAAGTTGGGGGTTAAGGAGGCACAATGGGAGTGGCCAATTTGTGGGTAGCCCCACAATATGCCAGGAACAGAATTATCCGATGAGCTGCCACACTGTCCCTGCTCTCCCTGTTCCATTTCTTCAGAGTCTTCACTGGATGATGGTGCCCCTGGCATCTGGCATCCATTAGCCCCTTCCAGAAGTCCCTGTGAAACAAGGGAGGGGAGCTGCCTAAAGCGATCCCAGATTGGGGGCAGGCTGGAGTGTAGGGGTGTAGGGGCAAATGGCCTCTGGCCCAAGCCCCTCCCCCTCCCAACTCTGCCCAGAGCTACCAGCCTACTGGTTTCAATGCCCCCAACACCACATGGGCCTGGAGGAGTTTGTGGCCAACCACACACAACGCCAGGAGATTTGAGGGAGGAGGAGGGGAGCTGGCAGGAGGGAACAGGGGCAAGCAAATGGGACCTGACAGGGGCCGGGCACCTCGGGCAAAGAATGTAAATAGAAATCAGTAAATATTTAGGGGAAGTAGAGCGGGAAGTCAGAGAGGAGGGGTGGAGGGGACGTGTTAGATTTCCAACAACATCTGGAGGGCAGTCCCCTCCACCCTTCCCCCACACCCCACCCTGCCCACACCCCACACATGGGGGCTCACCATGTGTGAGAGGGTGCTGGCTAGGGTGTGTATGTGAGCGGGGCTGTCTGGATGCGTGTGCACGGCAGGGCAAGTTTAGCGGTCTGGAGCGTTGGCCTGGCCACACCCACAAGGCCAGTCTCAGTGTCCAACTCACTGTGTCCCTCAGTCACTCACACCCTCATTTTCAGAAGGTCCTGCTATGAGCCAAAGTGGGATTCAAGGATGAAAAGACAATGTCTCCATTCTCAAGGAGCTTCTAAGTAGAGGTTGATAACCTCACATGAGGAAGGGCTTGACAGAAATCAGCTCAGAAAGCTATGAACCCAGCAGGGTAGTGACATGAAGTGGAGATCAAGGAGGGCTTCCTGGAGGAGGAGGATCATCTAAGTGTAGGGAGACATGGGTGAGAAAAGTGTGTTGTGTGTGGTGGAGGTTCATTTTCAGGGACAGGCAAGAGTGTGGACCATCCATGAGCAAGGTATGAGGACGAGAGGACAGGGGGACAAAGAGGACCAAAGCTTTGCTCAGCACCAGGAAAAGAATCTAAACCAAGAGCTCAACTGTGCAGCCAGGGAGAGAAGTGGGAACGCTGAGGTATCTGGGCTCCATCTCACCCTCCACCTCCATAACTTCCTGATGAGCCATTTCCTAGGCAGAGCTACGTCCCCCCATTTCTCTGTAGCCTCCCCCTGAAGCCTGGTAGCCAATGCCGAACTCAGCCAATAGCCCTTACCCACCCCTGGGACCACGGTCCAGGCCCCGAGCAAACCAAACACGTAGCATAGAGGGGTGAGGCATCCGCTAAGTAGCAACAGGTTCTTAACTAGATCTTAAGCACCTGCAGGGCCCAGGTCCTTGGATGCTTGGGAGGCAACTGGAGGCAAGGTGGCCTAAAGCAGTGGTCTTCCAGCAATGCTTTGTGGGCCACCCTCAGATGCTGTCGAGGGGGTTGGAGTGAAGCATGGGAGAGGGGTTTGAGGGGGTGTCTATCCCCTCTGTCACTCACCACCTCAACCCAAATAAATTCTACTTTCATCTGCTTTACTGGTCAGGCTTCTAGGAAGAGTTCATTTAAAGGTTCCCAGTACTATTAAAAAGAAGTAATTTTATCCCCTTTAAAAGAAGATAAAAGAAGAGCACGCACCCACCCCCACAGAGGTCATGCTGAACAGTAGGGAAGGAAAGCATCTGTCTCAAGCTTCAGAAAAATGGCCTTCAGCACCCCGAGATTGCAGTAAGACTCGAGCAAGGACCTAACTAACGGCTATTCCAAGCTTTGCTCTTGTCATCCCGAGGGGGTCCACCCCCTTCCCCAGGGCTGCCTCAGACTCTGGCCCATTCCTCCCGCACAGAGGCTGTGGAGCCGAAAGTGCAGGGTCTCTCAAGAGGGCCCGAGGATTGGAGTGTCATCCTCCCGCCTCCTGCGTCCAGGCCAAGGAACAATTGGGTCCTTTGTCCAGCAGGAGGATGCCCAAAGGGTGATGTCATCCCCGACATGGCCCTCTTTGTCCCAGAATTAGGAAGACACCAAGGCTGAGTAAAGCACTCTCCCCCACCCGTGGGCTTCCCAGGGGCCCATGAAGGAGCCCTGAAAAGGACGGACACTGATGGAGGGAGGTAAGGAAGGTTCAAGATGGATATACCTTGGGAAGAGCCTGGGAAAGTGTGTCCAATTTAGGGGGGCCCCCTTGCTTTGTAGCCCCTTTTGCAGCTTGGCCTACAAAGATGGTTCCAAAGTGAACAGGAAAAACTAAGGCTATGATTCTAGGGGCCCCAGAATCCTGCCTCAACTTTTGACCAAGTGGCGTTTGGAATAGGAGGACGAACTGCAAGTCTGCACAGGTGAGGCCACAGGGAGGTGTTTGAACAGGATTAACCCGGTCCCAGCAGCGAAGGGCTACCCGGAGTGGAAGAAACTGGGAACAGAGGGAGGAAAGCTGTGGGTGGATAAGGCCGGGGAGCAAGACTATGGCCTGAAAGAGCAAGAGCTGAGTCTGAACCAGAGAACTTCTGAGCTGGGCTGGGGGCCTTCAGGAGATGCTGCCGCCAGGACCCCAGTGAAGATGGAAAGAGGAACAAAAGGGGCAGGTGGGAGGAGCGGTGGGCCACGTGGGCTTCGGAAGAGCTGTCATGGGGCCATGGAGCACTAGGCCGAGATCAAGGCTGCTCGGCTCTAGTCCTGCTTCAGCCTCTAACACCCCTGGCTTGTTTTCCTCCCTCTAGGCCTCAATTTCCCCCACTTGTGCAACAAAACACTTTTTTTTTTTGAAGATTTGTTTATTTATGCATACAGAACTGGGGTACAGGCCAGAGGTGCAGGGGCAGTGAGAGGGTTCACCAGAGACAGAGTGGGGAGCAGAACAGGCAGATCAGTGACGTGCACTGCTGAGGGGAGCAGCGGGCGGGTCAGGAGAGGTCTGCCGTGCCATGTAGGTCACCTCCAGGGTGGGGATCGAACTCGTGCTGAAGTAGCTTTAGCTTCTCAGTGCTGCGGTTTAACCCGCTGTGCCACCATGGAGGGCCCACAACAAGACACTTCTGAGTCACAGTTCTGGTAGTTTCAGATAGCAGGGTGCAGGCGTGCGGAACAGAGGTTCCCCTCGTGGTCACCTGATGAGACAAGGTGAGACAGGATGGCGAGAGCCCCCGAGAGCCTCACCTACGGGAGCAGCTTCCTGTGGGGACAAAGAGGTCACAGTTCTGCAGGAATCACCCATGACTGGGGTTGGTGAGGAAGACAGGGGTGCTCTTGATGGCCACCAACTGCTACAGGCCACCAACTTTGGGAGCATGGAGGGGTGGGGCCACCTGGGGGCCAGTGAGGGCCAAGAGCACGCTGGGAGCAGGGCCCAGTGACAAGGCACGTCATGATCTGACCAGACTAGCCTCTAAATATGGATTCTCTGACTTTGGAAGCTTCTCAAACATGGGGAGCACCCTGCCTCCTGCCCCGCCCCTACCCAATTCATGCTGGACCAGGCCCCACCCCATCTGGGTGGGATGTTGTGAGAGCCGAGAATAGTCATTGCTGGGGTCAAGGAAGGGAGGGTCACCAGGGACTAATTGCCCTAAATAAATGAGCAATTAAGGCTGTTACAGGAAGTATCCAGACCCCCCTCTCCACCCACCGCCCAAAGATCACCATGGCAACCACTGCAGACTCCGCCCCAGCGAAAACTGAGCCTCTCGGTTGGCCCATGTAGCAGTCACTCAGAGAGCCAGGTGAGAGGGCGTGGCTTCAGCTAGGAGGGCGAATAGCGAATAGAAACTGGCCCGAGGAAAGGCAGTGGCATGAATGGGTGACCTTCTGGTCGAGAATTGTGGATGATTCCTCCCAGAAAGTGCGGAAGAGCAGAGTCCAGCACACACCTGCCGACTCGGCTGTGAGCCGGCGGTGGGCATGCGGTGAGAGGCTGCCAGGTAGTGGAGGCCGGGGGCGGCCGCCAGAAGTAGGCCTTGCCAGGTTCCCATCTCTCAGCGCCCCGGCCCCTCCCCCTCCGCTTCCTGTAATGGCGTCTCCAATGGGGAGGCCATTAGTCCTGCTCCGGGCAGCGCCTAAGTACTGTGGCTGATAAATATAACATGAGCCATCGATTAGAATCCTCTAGTACTGCAGCGACTCAGCTCCCTAATGGCTCCCCCTCCCTGCCACACACAGGCTACCCACCCCCCGCCCCACCTGGGGCTGCTTTTCTTGCATACTTGGGGCAGCGAGGAGCAGAGGTGGTGGAGGCAACACCCAGGGCCCAGTTGGGTCCACCGCTGCGTGGAGACTGGCTGGGCTGGTGCGGGCCAGTCTCGGCCCCTGTGGCCTGCAGCCCCTGTCAGTTACGGAGCACGGGGATGAGCATCCCTGTGTGGACACAGCTGGAAAGGCTACAGGTAGAGGGTTCTACCTCCTAGGAGGGGGCGTGCCAGCTCTTGGGGGTGGGGGCTGGAGGGCCCTCCTGGTGACTTAAGTCAGCAGGCAGAGAAATCAGCAGGTTGTGCCTCTCCTTGCAAGTCGCAGCCCCACAGCGGAGCCACCCCTCGCCCCATGCCCGGGCTGCACCCTTTCCTGTTTCACCCTTCTCTGAAATGTGCATACCCCTCACCATAGGAGAAGTCCTAGTGTAGGTCTGGCTTCCAGTCAGCCTGGGGCCTACTGAGCTAGGGAGCGACTTCTTTGAGAGGTGGGGGGAAGGCTTTGGATCTCAAACTATCACCCCACACCCCCAAACCCAGACTGGAAGCTGCAGAGGGGAGGTGTGCCCGCCAGAAAGTAACCAGACGTATTAGACCTTTTGACTGTGTTGCGCACTGATGCTAGGAGCTGAGGCAGCAGAAACATCTCTCCCAACCTGAGACCCCTAAAGGATCTGGCCAGCAGCTGGGAGACATCTGGAAGGGCCTTTGCAGGAGGCCGGGGACAGCTCCTGCCTGGGTGCCAGAGGGGTTTTGGTGGGTGGGTGAGGGGGCCTGGGAGTGGGCTGCGGTTTTACAGCACTGTCTCTGCCCACAGAATCCTCTAACAGGAAGGCTGAGCCAGGCTGGCTGCAGCCAGGAAGTTAATCCTTAATGTGCATCTGGCCTCATTGCTGTGCAAACTCACCACTTAAACACTCCAGCCGGTGGGGACGAGCCACAGAGCCCGCATGCCTCAGGGTGGGGTTCGGTATCTCAGGAGCTGAGTGCTGCGGTGTGCCGAGTGCCATGGGGTGCCTCTCCGCCTGGTGGCTTTGTCTGAGAGCCCCCGGGTGGGTCTGGCCATTCTCTGCTGTGCCCCCTTGCCCCCACCTCCGTGCTTCTCCCAAGCCTCTGGACGGCACTCTGGCCAAGAAATGTGTCTTTGTGGTTGGTGGAGCTTGAGCGCCATTCTTCCTCCCCACGAATCCAGTTGCATCTGTGAAGACGGTAGCTAGGCTGTGAGGAGAACTTCCTCGTGTGCTGAGTGGGAGACCTGAGTGCGTGTGCAGCCTTCAGGGAAGTAAAGGATGCACCTTTGATGATGTTTCTGGAAGGGCAGTTGAGTCTAGGAGCAGTGGATGAAAGCATGGAAAGGAGGTAGGAAGGTAGGTAGGTTTCGTCAGATTGGGGTACCATTAAAAGACATCACAGACTGGATGATTTAGACAATGTATTTTTCTACAGTGTGGCGGGTGGAAGTTCAAAATCAAGGTTCTGGTCATTTCAGTTTCTGGTGACAGCTCTCTTCCTGACTTGTTGACAGCCTTTCCTTGGTGTGTGTGTGTGCATTGGAGGATGGGGGGAGGGGAGGTGGGGGTGGGCAGGAAGAGGGTGACCTGGAGCTCTCTAGTGTCATGCATGTGTATACAAATAGAGCCACCTTAGAAATTAGGACTTCTGGGCCCTCCCTGGTGGCACAACGGGTTGAAGCACAGCACTGCAAGCTGGCTGCAGTCTCTTCAGTGCACGTTCAATCCCTGGCTCAGAGATGACCCACATGGCACAGCAGACCTCTCCTGTCTTCCCACTGCTCCCCTCACAGTGTACTTTGTCAATCTGCCCATTGTGCTCCCCATTCTGTCTCTGGTGATTCCTCCCACTGTCCCTGCACCTCTTGCCTGTACCCCAGTTCTGGATGCATAAGTAAATCTTTTTTAAAAAAACGGAAATTAGGGCATCAGAAAATGAATTTAGGGGGAACACAATTTAGTTCATATCACAGGGTGAGGGAAGTCTCTCCATTTTTCCCTATATTTCACCACCAGATTTGAAGATAAGCTAATAAGCTAACTAGATTTCCCTTTCTTTCCAACTTGCCAAGCCAACAATCTCCTGCCTTCCCCACCCTCAGGGAGGGCTCATACACAGATTCCCATCCCTGCTCCCTTCTTTCCCAGCCTGTCTCTGCGGCCTGCACTGGGGGAGGGCAACCAAGAAGCCTGTCCCTCAATAGCCTTAATTCAGCCCCCAACCCAGGCTATATTTAGCCTCATGCCTCAAACACTGGACAAAGCCACTTTCCAAGGGACTGGTGAGAACAGAGTTGAGGGGCAGGGGGCTGCCCTTCCTGCCCGTTTCCTTCCTGATTTGGATACCCCTGGGTTGCTCTTCTGGGGTTACTAGGAATGGTGTTCACAGGGTCAGGGGCTAGGGCTTTGTGTGACTGGCATTCTATTTCTAGATGATCCGCTGGGAAGGGATTGTGAACCTCCCACCCCAGCCTGAATGAACCCATTCTGGAGCTGTCTTCTTTCCCCGACTTCAGCGTGCATCGGAATCATCTAGGGAGCTTTAAAACTATGGTTTCTCGGGCCTTGCCCCTAAAAGCTCTGATTTTATTAGTCCAAGGGTAAGGTTCCTATATCCTTTATTATTTGTAAAGTCTTCCCAGGTGACTAATGTGCAGCCAGGGCTGGCAAGTGAACCCCGTTCTAAATCCTTGCCATTCAAGCTGTGGTTCTTGGTCATCAGGTCGAGAAGATGGGGAGACTTGTTGAGGTGCCCCCCCGCCGCCAGGCTGCTGAATCAGAATCTACAGTTTAATTAGATTCCCAGGAGATTTTGATGAGGGCTGAAGGTTAAGGATCACTCTTCTAGAATATTCCACTGTGGCAGGCAAGACTCTAGATCTTTGCTTCCAAGTTTTGGGATAACAAAGGGTTTCAGTTAAGCTGGGGCAGCAAGCATTTCCGATGGTCTCTTTCCATGTCTCTGCCATGTTCTTAGGGAAGGATTCTGTTTTCTTAAGATTTCTTTCCTATGGATGGCTGGGCCACCTCTCCCAGGTCAAAATCATGGACGTAGAATATGAAGGGCCTTCCTTAGCTCCCCCATGTGTCCTCACTCTCATGTATGCACACACATGCCAGATCTCAGGCCAACACATCTCCAAGACAAGCAGGGTGTTCACCATCCATAGACAGGCCCAGAAATGTGCCATGAGTTTTATGATAAACTCCCTATCAAGAACAACTTTCAGTGCTCAGCTCTCACTTCCAAGTAACTGTCCTCTTGTCCTTCAGCATCAACAAAAGACTCCCCTATTTCCCCTGTAAGAAATCCCAAGGTCCTCAATCAACAAAATTCATTCTCATGTCCAACTATGTCCCACCCCTCCACACCTCACTGGGGAGGGTCACACACCAATCCCCACCCTCCTCACTTATTTCCCAGCTTACTGGGTTATCAAGATCCACTTCATTGACTGTGTCTTCTATGTAATTGATGTCTTAACTTAAAACCCTATACCACCATGCCCATTTCCATGCCCACACACATTTATAAGACAAGATGTAAAATTCTGTGGGAGCATCAGGGCCCTGCAGAGGCTCAAAGGCCCTGTTCCGGCACAGAGCTTCACCTGCCACAACTATCCCTACCTCACACCAAACACTAGAGTCAGTCCCTGCTCTTCTTGGCTGCAAAATACACACTGCCCCTTTGTTGATGCCCCTAAGCACCAGAGCACTTTGCATTGCTAGAATAACTTTTCTCTCTCTTCTCCTTGTCTCCCTGATAGGTTCTTATTTATCCTCAAGTGCCAGAGCTGATCACCTCTCCAGGACACCTACCTTAATTCTACAGGCACTGTAAGTGTTCCCATAGCTGTTTGAACTGATCCCTTTCCCAGCACCCATTACTTTGTGTCTGTCCCTGTCTACCTCTTCCACCAGCCTCTTTAAGAAAGAGTAGTCCCATTCATCTGTATAACTACTGCACCTGTCAGGAGTAGAAATAGCAACAATAGCTAACATATGTTTGCATTCATTCTATCCTACACACCATACAAATCCCTGTCTTTATATTAATCATGTATTATTTCCAACATCCCTGAGGCTCAGAGAGGTAAAGTAGCTTGCCCAAGGCCCCCCAGCGACTCATAGCAGAGCTGGGATCTGAACTCAGCCCGTCAGGTACCAGAGCTCCTGCGCTTTACCACTGCATTCTGTGGAGCTCCTTAGGCAGATGATGGAATTAATGAACACTTATCGGTAGAAATTTCCTCTTTATCCACATATTTCTGTGTCATTATATCAACCTCATCTTCTTAGCCTCCGTGTTACCTTCGTTCCTGGCACCACAACTGGCCTGTTGCAGGGATTAGAGTCTTGCTCCTAGGCTTCTGCTTTGGTTAGGTGACCCTCAGGGGCCAGACTGCCTCGGTCCAACCCCTTCTTCTGCCATGTGTTATGCCTTGGCTACCTCCCCCCTTGAAGTCTCGGGACAAGTTGTATAATCTCTCTAAGCCTTAGTGTACATGGGGTTAGTTACCTTACTGACCTTCTGGGACAGCTGGAGGATTGAATGAGATCATGAAGGTAAAACCTGGCCTGCAGTGAGGGCTCAGTTAGTGAACAGCTAATGAGCTGAGGCTGGAGGGGACAAGGTGCTGCTGGAGGAATGTGGACTTGCTGGTTCCGACTTACATCTCCAACCTGCCAGAGGGGAAGGGCATGGCTCTGTGGACACCAGCCTGGATGAGGACAGCTGTCACATGGTGTGGAACAGCTTTACTTACACTGAGTGTCATGTGATCCCCTCCACCTGAAAGGGAGGCCAGAGTTGGAGCGGGAGAGTCATTTCCAGAATGGGGATGTCATCTAAGAGTTGGTCCAGAGGACTGAGGCCCAAGGGTGCATGGAAGGAGACCACTAGACCACTGCCTGCTCCACTCTCCATCTTACCCCAGAGAATTTTGGGTGCTATGTCTGAACCTGGAGGTGACCCTTACCACATCCCAATCTCATGCTTCCTCTGAGGCCCTGAGATAGTGCTGTTCTGGAGGGGTTGCGGGGGGGGGGGGCTGCTAAGAGGACCCAGCAGGAAGAGGGGACCTTTGTCCAAGTCCTCAGAGACAAGGGCTCCTTGGCTGAGCCGGCCCCTCCCCCACACTTGGCTGCCCCATGAGGGATGCATCCTCTGAGGCCCCCCAGCTTTGTGGTCAGCTCTGGCTCACAGAGGGGGCTGTGTCCTGCCACCCTGTGTCCTGTCCTTCCCCTTTGAAACCCCCATTGTCAGACGGGGGCTTCGGGGACAGGCTGGGGACATGTCTCAAAGGCTTAATGTTCCCAGAGGTGGGAAGGCCGAGGGTTCTCCCGGAAGGACCAGGCCATGGGACACCTGGTTCTTCTGGGCCTCTCTGCTTGGAGCCCTGACTGGCTGGAAAGAAGGTTCATAGGAAGTGAGACGGTTATGGGACACCCCATGCGTGTGTGTCCTTGCTCCAAGCTATTCTCTAAGGCAGAGAGGCTAGCGAGGATTAAAAAGAAAACACAAGCAGATGTTAAAATAATATAAGGGCAGCTATCCTGCTGTGGGCTTCAAAACCGTCACAGTCCCCCTTAATATAGCCACGATTGTCACCATCATCCCTCCACTGCCAGCAAGGAAGCAAGGCACAGCGATGCTAGAGAACCGTCCCCAGTCACACTGGCTATGGTTACGGGGCAGAACCAGCGTGGCAGGCAGGAGCCTTGCAAAGCACCTATCTGCAGTGACTGTGTGACCGAGGGCCAGAAGATACTTCTGGGGAACACTAAGGTAGTAATGTCCTCAACACCCCCTAAGGCCCCTCGAGGACCCCACAGATCTCCTGATCCTCGCTGGAAACACTGTCTTCAGTCTTCTCCCAGGGTCCTGCCCGGGATCTAGGACCCCAGGGGCTCTCCTGCCCTCAGTGGGGCCTCCAGACTGATTTAGTCTGGGACCCACATAGGGACAGGGGACAAGGGACTCATCTGTCCACAGTCTCCTTGACTGAAGCTCCACTAGTTCCATGGAAGACCCTCCCTGTGTGTTTTTTTCCCTGGGGCGTGAGGCCAGCACTGCTGGTTAAAATAAGGGGCCTGACAGGAAAGCACAAGATGTCGCTGATGGTTTTGATAAAGGTCCAGGACTCATTCATTGAACCAAGTATGGCCCTCTGCAAAGCAGTCTGCCTAGGAGTCCCCCAGTGCTTTGGGAAACTCCTGCCCTGGGTTAGCAGCTCAGGCCTCTGGCTCTCCCAAAGGCAAAGCTTCCTGTTGGAAGGAGTGAACGTGAGCGTGGAGGACAGCTGGTACCCACTTGAGTCCAGGGAGGTGAGCCAGGAGCTTCCTCCATTCGGGCAAGTGGGCACATTTAGCACAAGCCATGGGGCAGGTGCTTGCCCAGGTGCAGTGCCAGGCCAGGGTGGCAGTGGGGGTGGCCCAAGATGACCAGGGATCCAGGATGCTCACCAGTCGGTGGGGAGGAAAAGACCTATCCTGAGCAGTCCAGGCAATGCAGACACGCTGGGGCTCCCAGACAGAGCAGAACGAACGGGGCTCTCAGACAAGAGGAAGAAGTGCTGCCACGAAGTTCAAGTACAGCCACAGGTTGTCTCCAGCATCCAGAGAGGCCTTGTAAAGCCTGCAGCAGCTTCCTGGAGGAGGCAGGTTTTGCCCTGGGCTTAACTCTGAGTTGGACAGCATTAAAAAGAAGAGGATTTCTGATAGAAGGGACAAGCCAGTTGATATTATTTTAATTTAAATAAACCAATAAGGGGCCTCCCTGATGGTGCAAGGGGTTAAGATGCAGCACTAGGAAGCTAATGGCAGCCACTGCAGCACCAGTTCAACCCCCAGCCAGGGAGCTGACCACATGGCGCAGCAGACTTCTCCTGTCCTGCCCACTGCTCCCCTCAGCAGTGTGTTTCAGTAGATCTGCTCTTCTGCTCCCCGCTCTGCCTCTGGTGAATCCTCTCACCCCCCACATCTCTGTTCTTCACCCCAGCTCTTTTATGCATAAATAAATTTTAAACAATAAAACAAACCCTAGTCTTGAATAGTTGTCACAGAATGGTAAGAACTTTTTATTTTTTTTACTTTTGCATAGAAGAACTGGGGTATAGGCCAGAGGTGCGGTAGGTGAGAGGCTTCACCAGAGACAGAGTGGGGAGCAGAGCAGGCAGATTGACTGAAATACCCTGCTGAGGGGGTGGGGAAGTGAGACACGAAGAAGTTTGCTGCTCCATGTTTGGGTCAGCTCCTTGGCCGGCAATCCAGCTCGGCCCGTAGCAGTGACAGTGCTGAGACTTAACCCGTAGGCCACCCGGGAGGCCCCCGGGGTGAGAAGAACTCTAGCTGTGTGTGAGAAGTCAGACTGCGTTTTATCCAGCCATTTTTATCCGTCATCTGTTAGCTACGTGGCTTTAGGTAAGTGACTTAATCTCTCCTCACCTCCATTTTGTCATATGGAAGATGAAAATAATCCCAGTGGCTTTCTCCAAGAGTTATCTGCACACGAAACAAACTCCGAGTAGAGGGCTCTCGGGGCCAGCCCCTGGCGAGGCCCAGCCTTCCGTTCCTGGGAGAGCTGGTGCTCTCTATGAGGCTCTCAAAGGCCCCTGTCCTGAAGGCTTAGTTCTAAAAACAGGATCCCCGAGCCTCTCTCTGTTGGTGCCCCTTGCCCGCCTCCACAACAGGGCTCAGGAGAGAGGGGACAGCCTGGTGGGTTCCATCCAAAGCACACCCCGATGGAGGAATCCTGCTTCTGACTGATGAGCAGAGCCTGTGAGCCTTGGAAACAGTTCTTGCTAGTTTCCCTCCCACACCGACACCAGAGCAGTAGCCACCTCGGTGATCTTCTCGTCCCCCGGTCTCCTCTCTCAACCTGGGGCCCTTAGCCCCAGAGTGACCCCCTGAATAGAGTAGAGTGCCTCTTCCCGCCTCAGAAGTCTTCCGTGGCTCCCACTGCCCAGAGAATGAAAACCAGCTCCTTTGGCCCAGCAGCTGAAATCTGCCTTCCACAGCCTGGCCTGCTGCCTTTCCAGCCTCCTCTCCCGCTACCCACCTGCCAGACCTGCAGTCACCTGGGCCCAACCACCTCCAGGTCACTGAATAGTCTTTGGACAGCGCCCCCCACCCTCCCCCTGTAAACAGTTTTTACAGGCCATCCTGCCTTTTGCCTGTCTGAATCACCTCTGATGGCTGCGTCCTAGACATGCTTCAAGACCCACCTCAGATACCCCCTCCTCCTGGCAGCCCTCCTAGACTGCACTCCCAGCAGGGCCCACGCATGCTCTCTGCCGTCTCCTGTGGCTGGCGTGGAGAAGGTGCCTCAGTGCGCAGCTGCCCCGGCAAGCCGCGGCCCACCCGGGCAGAGATCCTGCAGAGAAGCGGGGTGGGGCTGCAGAAACCTCCACAGAGCCTGGCATGGATGCCAGCAGCCGGATAGAGGCCAGGCGGCAGGGTTGGCATAGCGCCGCTGCCGGAGATGAGGGTGAGACAAACAGCAATTAGCCCGGCACAGGCTGGGCTCTCCAGGCTAATTACCAATTAGATGGGGCCGGGCGATTAGCAACATGAAAGAGACAGTCAGCAAATAGTCACCAGTGTGGCAAAGCCCAGAGGGGTCTGTTTTTGCTGAAGGCCTGGCTTCCTAGTGGTTAGTGCCGTCCTTTTGGGGGACAGGTCTTCCAGCAACAGGGGGCCAAGCCTCCCAGGGGAACTTGGGCCAATTTTGCCTCTTTTTTACTCCCAGGGGTTCACATGCCATTTCTAGGTGGTGTCGGGTGGTGGGTGATAGGTGCTTTACACTGGCCAGGTGAGCCGAGCGGGGTCTGAGCTTCTGTGTGGACTACCAGGGGGTGCGCTGAGGCTGAAGGAGGGGGAGCAGCTTCCTTCCCCATCTCGAAGCTCAGCATCCTTCACTCTGCCTCCTCTGTCTCCCTTGCCCTGCCCACTTCCTGTCTTCCCTCTGCTCATTTTCTCATTTTCTTTCTCTCTCTCCCCCCTCCCTGAACCCCATAATCTGCAGTCCCTGCCTCACCAAGCAGGGAGCCTCCATCACCACAGGAAGGACTGAGATGGCACAGATTCAGTCCACCCTAATGACCTAGCCAGGCCACGCTGGGGTGAGTTGTCTGGGTGGGAGAGGGTGGGCGTGGGAAACAGCGTTGCTCTAAGAAGAGCTTTGGGAGGGGAGGCGGCAATCATGATCTGTGTGGATGATCCTGCAAGGAGGCTGGATGGTAGACCCCCCTTCACGGAGCCACCTCAGGGCCCACGTCAAGTTCATTCCAGAGCTCTGTCCCCGGACTCCTCCCTGGCTCTGCACTCTGCTCCGGTCCCTGGCTAGCTTGGAGCCTGGCAGGCCCTGCTGAGCTAGGTCAGCCTGCTGACACGGCTGCCCCAGCACCAGCCCAGATGTGTCTCCAAGGTGGAGACGGCTGCACAGCGGGCACATGAGTCTGTGGATGGGGCGTCTGGGTACCAGCAGACCATCGCCACCTGTCTCACCACCCTCTGTGGGGGTCTTTGTTGCAGATCAGACCCCCTGGGGCCTGCAGAGATTAGAAGGAAAGGTTGCTGCTCTTCCAGAGTTGGAAGAGGGAGAAGGGAGGGACTCAGGGAGGAAAGACAATTCAGGGAGAGAAGGGGGTTCCATAAGAGGAGGAGGGATACCATTAGGGAAGGGCTCTGGAGGAAGGTGAAGGCTCAGACCTGCAAATAAGCTAGGACCAGAGCGTTGGCCAAAGGGCTGGTTTTGTGCATCTAGCTTGTGGCAGTCCCCGGCGAGCACACCACACAAGAGACCAGGGGATCCAAGCGCCAGGCTCTCACACCAGGGACAGGTGCCAAATCCTGCTTCCCCTTGGTGTCGCTATGTACCTCCTCCTGCCCCTCCCCCCACCCCGAGGTGGGGAGATGCTGCCTGGCTAGCTCTGGGAAGGAAAGAATGAAGCCTCTGAGGGCAGGAATGTGGACAGAGAGGTGGGGCTGTCCCTCATGTCTTCCAATGGGCTGTTCTGAGGGCAGGTGCCCGTGTGTGTGTGTGTGTGTGTGTGTGTGTGTGTGTGTGTGCAGGCGCGCATGTGTGTCAGCTGGCAAGCACAGGGAGTGAGTGGGCTTGCACCATGATGGCCACAGTCATGTGCACCAGCCCTTTCCCCAACAAGCAGCCGGGGTTTCCCCAAACACACTCCTGCTGTGGTCAGAGTCTAGTGGTCGACATCTCTGAGCTCTGAACTCACCCCTCAGCTATGCCCCCTGGACAATGGGCTCTTTCTGCATGAGATGGGCTGGTGGGACCCTGTCATAGACTTGTGACCTGAGGGAATAGGACTGCCCTAGGGCACATCCCAGCCTCGGTCATACTTGTGGACACTGACTGGCCTTGAGCCAGGGTAGACCAAAGAGAAAGAGGGGCCCTCCTTCCTGCTGTCCCAGGAAGGCACCCTGGGGGAGGGAGGGGTCGTGCTCCCCCACCCCAAGTGCCCTGACCAGCCCTTGCCTGGACATACATGCCAGTATCAAAGGCACCTGCCCTGGGCTGACTTGGCTCCCAGGGTGCCAACATGCAAGGGCCTTGAGGGTCAGCACGGAGTGGAGGGCTGGGCATCATCTAGAGGAAGGATCAAATCTAGGTTTGATGAGAGACACCTCTGCCCTCAGGGAATGTGTGTGGGCAAAGAGGTGACTGCAGCAGGGGGCGCTGGGGAGAGCTGATCAAATGCTCCCCTCCTTGCTAAGTCCCCTCTAATTCTCAGATCCTGCTCCCACCCCATACTCATTAAAGGAAATGTTAGTCTGATAGGGGGAGTTTGTGTGCATGCAGGCATACACACTATGTGGGCATACACACTATGTGGGCATACACACTATGTGGGCATACAAACTATGCGGGCATACACATTCACATGGGCATACACACCCAAGTGGGCATACACACTCACACACACACCTAAAACAGAGACTCAGTCAACCCAAGATGATGACGGCAAGTGATCTCTTTTGAGGCAGGAGGAGGCAAATGGAGAAAGGATCTCTCCCATCACGATAAGACTGAGGGCTTCCTGGAGGAGGGATGGTGGAGCTGGGTAGGGCACCCATACTCTAGGCTTGGGGAGACAACTGGGGGTGAGGGTGTCAGGAAGAACTTCTGGGTGATTTCCTTCCCACCATCAGAAGCTCTCTGAGCACAGAGAGGCCAGTCTTAGCCCTAAGGTAGCACAGCACAGGAGGAAGAATGTGCAGATTTCAGTCTAGGTTTCCTATTCCAACCCCAAAGCCGCCTCACATCCTTCTCCCCCTTCCCTGCATCCCACACCCCCAGGCGGCCCAGGGAGATCAGTGGGGGGCAGGAAGCAAGTTCCAGCAGGACAGCTGTTCTGCGCAGCTGCTGGGGGCTCTGGGGGTTGCAGCGGATTTGATTTGATTCAGGCCCCAAAATAGCCATCATAGCAGGAAGCAGGCCCCCTCCTCCAGCCCCTCCAGGACTCTCCATCCGGGCCTGAATTGACACCTTAGAGGTTCTGCCCTCTCTTACTCCCCTGCATTCACCCCCCTGACTCTAGGGACCCACTCCATTTTTTCTCCTCTAGCTCTCAACCATTCTCCTCTTTGAGTCTCCCCTCCTCCAGGAAGCCTGCCTTGGTCACCCCCTCCCCCACCAGGCCTGTGGCAGTTCTTTGCCCACACATACTCCCCAGCACCTCCCCCAACCCAACCCTACTCCTAGTGGGGATCTGAGCAGGGAGTTAGGGCTGGGGGCCAGCGGCCAGGCACGGGCAGACTGCGAGGGCACACAAAGACGTGGGCTGCCCTGGCCTTTGATGAGTAATCGCTTTTCCCTGGAGCCACGATTCCACTGGCCGCCAAGGCCCCTGCCCCCGCCCCACTCCAGCTCCTCAAATAAGACTGGCTTTTGTTCTGAAGACACAATGCGAGAAAATGTCACCCGGGGGGCGTGCCCCCTGGCCCCAGCCCTGACAACCGGAGTTCTTAATCACCCAGCTCCTTCCTTCCCAACTTCCCTGCCAGCAGCTGGCTGAGCAGGGGGAGGGCCAGAGTAAGGGTAGGGGGCAGTTACCACCTTCTGGAGCGGAGATGTCTAGCTTGAAGTCAATGGCCTTCATTTTTCTCCCTCTCTGAGATGTGGGTCTCCCACAAAGTGCTGGACCTCTGCTCAGGTCTTAGTTCTTCCCTCTCCATCCAACCCTGCTGGCGTCCCTGGAGTGGACAGGAGCCTAGAAAGTGCACCAGAGCCTCAAAAGGGAGCCACAACCTGTTCAGAGCACTGCGCCAGGCTAGATAAGTGTCAAGAAAGTAAAACAGCCTGGCAGAGACCGAGAGTGGAGAAGGGCATGAGTCCCCTCACAGGCTTCCAGCCAGAGCCTCCCGGCCTGAGGCTCCGTGGCCGGTGGTGGTCACGTTAAGAAGTGACTTGGGGGGCAAACCCCCCTCCATAGTCTCTCTAAGCTTCCTTCACCTGCCCCAAATAAAGGTCTAAATAAGAATGCTGCGCTTATGGACCTGCAGCTTCTAGACAAACTTCCCAGCCCTCCTTCCGATCAAATGTCAGCCCCGCAGATCCTGCGTAGAAATTCTGCATCTTTACTGTGAGGTCTTGTTTTCTCTTAAGCCTCTTATAACCAGTCTGGTCTGCTCTCCCTCGCCTCCCTCCGCCTCCACGGCCACCCCTCCACCTAGCTCTGCTCCGACTGTCCATCTGTCCGTCCATTTCCCTTCAGCAGCCTGAGCTCCAGCTCTCTTGTCCCCTCCAGTACATTCTCCATGGAACAGACAGAGCCATCTTTGTAAGATCAAATCAGATCCTCTCACTTCCTTGCTTAAAAGCCTCAGAAGACTCCTCATTGCTTTGAGGATGAAATTCAAAATCTTTTGCCAGGGAAAGCGAGGGGGGAGAGTCACATGAGAGCAGTGTTTGGGGGTTCTCACTGTGTGAGGGGGACACTCAGGAATTAGTCAGATGATGATGACAGCAGCGAGGAGTGCTGCCATGTCACTTTCTGAGCAGTATGAGCTAATTGATGAAATTTGTGCACATGAGATCCAGTAATAAGGAAAACCCAAACTCCTTGCTTCAGGTCCACAAGATTGTCTCATCAGACCTCCCCCAGCTCCTTCCCTACCACCCTCGCCTCTCCTTTCTCCAGCAGACAAATGGGGAAGATTTCAACCCAGTGTGCCTTTCCCAGGCCATTCATATATTTATTCACTCATTCAGACTCATGTATTGAATCCCTGTCACACATCCAGCATTGATTAGATATGGAGAGACGGAGCTAAGCAGGGGATTTCTGTCCAGTGTCTCTTGACAGATAGTAACGATAACAGATAGCGTGAGGGGACCCTGCCTGGGCTACCTGGGAGAGGCCTCACTGCCTTAAGCTCAGCTTTCCAGAAGGAGCGCCAGTTCCTTCAAGTCCCACCAAGCAAAAACCAAGGCTGGAAATCTTGGCTGAGCTGGTGATGTCTGCCAAGGTAAGGACGCTGAAGGGACATGGGCTGGGACAGCTGAGCACAGGGCATGCTAGGAACTGAGCTGAGCCCGGGACGCAAGGTCGGACCATGAATGGACTTGGAAGTCTCATTAGGACTTTGGATTTATCTCTAGGCCACAAGGCAACAGCCAAGATTTTTAAAGCAGAGATGTGCATAATCAGATTTGTGTTTTAGAAAGAGCTTTCTGGCAGCAGCATAGATAGATGATAGATTACAGAGAGGACAGACTGGAGTCAGGGAGACCAACTGGTTCCGGATATATTGCAGGCCTGAAGGAGGGCGGGAGCAGGGAGAGCAGGAGACACGAGCCATGCAAAGTAAGCCACGGGGGTGCGGAGATGGGGAAGCACATGGACAGAGAGGTTGATTCAAGGCCCAGACTTTGGGCTCATGCTGGGGAGGAGCTGGGAGCAACCTGAGGTGGACAGGAAGAGCCACCTGGAGTGGGGGTGGAAGATCCGCCTGAGCTTATGAAGGTGCAGGTGCCAGACGAGCCAGCAGGTGGAGAGGTCTGGCTGAGAGCTGGAAGCCTGATCTGTGCTTGGGAGTGAAATGCAATGCAGAGAAAGGGCCGGAAGAGCCAGAGGGCATGAGCCAGAGGTGCCCA